CATGCTGGAAGGTAGGGCGGCCTAGAGGATTCAGGGGGCCTGTGGCAAAGTAATAAAAGAGGCCCTCAAACTGGAACGGGTGCAGAGAAGGGCCACTAGGATGATCAGAGGAATGGAAAACCTGTCGTATGAAAGGAGACTAGAGGAGCTTGGGTTGTTTAGTCTGACAAAGCGAAGGCTGACGGGGGATATGATTGCTATCTTTAAATATATTAGAGGGATTAATACAAGGGAGGGAGAAGAATTATTCCAGCTTAGTACTAATGTGGATACAAGAACAAATGGATATAAACTGGCAGTGGGGAAGTTCAGGCTTGAAATTAGACGAAGGTTTCTGACCGTCAGAGGGGTGAAATATTGGAACGGCCTTCCGAGGGAAACGGTGGGGGCGACGGACCTGTCTGGTTTTAAGATTAAGTTAGATAAGTTTATGGAGGGAATGGTTTAATGGTAAAACATAGTAGTCAAGGAAAACCAAGCAATGGTAGGTAAATAGTATAATGGCTAACAGGGGTCAGGCTGGAGACTCTTGCCTATATGCTCGCGGTCTTGGGCAGGGATCTTTAGCAGGAGGGTCTCTGCCGATTGAAGTCACTAAAACAGGATTGGGGACTTCAACAGCAGAGTCCAGGGAAGGGGTAGGGACGGTTTTATGGCCTGCAGCATGCAGGGGGTCAGACCAGATGATCATAATGGTCCCTTCTGACCTTAAAGTCTATGAGTCTATGAGAAGTCCCAGGGTCTCCTGGCTGGCGTCTGATCCTGGATCCCCTGGGAAGGCTCTTCCTAGGTGTGATTCCTGTTACTCCCACCCCTGCCTTCTCGAGTCAGGCAGCCGCAGACACAGGAACAGGTGCTGGGTGGATGCTAAGTCAGCAGGCACTCTGCTTGGATGTGTTCAGGCTTCCCAGCAGCAGCAGCTCATCCTATCCCATTGGGTCAGCAATATGGGAATGTGACCCTCTCACAGGCTTCTGGGCAAGGCTGCTGGAACAATTTGTATAGTGGAGGTGCTGAGAATCATTGAACCAAACTGTAAACCCTGTGTATGATGGAAACCACTTCAAGCCAGGGGGTGCTGCAGCACCCCTAGCTCCAGTACCTATGCTTCTGGGGCAGTGGTTAGCATCTTCCAGAGGGCAGAGCTCCCTGAATGCTGAAGGGATTTGACCCCCAAGGAAGCATAATCCAGGCCCCCTGTTGGTCACCCAGTGCCGCCCATCTCCAAACACTAAAGCTGATGCCTCCTATGACCATGTTACAGGTTGGTGTAGCCAGCCACCTGTGCTCTGGCCAAGCTGCCAGCTGTGCCAAAGCTGGCTGTCACCTTTCACCTACCCCTCTTCCAGGGAGGACAACAGCAGCTTGAATTAGCTCCCTGGCTGCCCAGGGGCACCAATGTAGGGGTGGTAGTGTGGGATAGGAACGAGATGGCAGGAGCACGATACAGAACCATACGGACCCCATAACAACAGTTCAGACAGAGGCTGGAGGCATCACCAGCCTCAATGCCATTTTGACCAAAGGACCGATAACACTG